GCTCATCGTTTCTGAGGTTTCAGTCCGTGGTCAGCTGGTTCCAAGGCAGGAGCATCGTGGTGGAAGGGTGTGGTGTTGAACAGCTGCTCACTTCTTGTCGCTGAGAAGCAGAACGTGGGGAAGAGGGCCAGTGAGGGCCACACTCTCCCAAGGCTTGCCCCAGAGACCCACCTCCCACCTGGCCCACCCCAAGAGTACATTCAGCGACAGTGTCAGGGGATGAATCCACTGATAAGCATAGCAACCTGATGATCCTGTCCAGGAGTCTCAGTCCAGTCAAGGTGATAATTAAGGTTGACTGACACAGAGAACATGTTTTGCCTAATGGCATTAAAATGCAAAAACATTTGCTGTAGTTTGGAAGTTGCATCCCTTCTAAGGTCCAAGTAGGAGAGGTTGGGTCTTTAGGGTGTTGCTGTTGGGAGAGAAGGGGAGGTCCCTAGACCACCAGAAGGGCACTCTTGATGGGGATTGTGGCACCCTGGTCTCTCAAGTCTTCCTTCATGAATTTAGCAGATTTTGCTCTGCCGTATGCTCCTGCCATGGTGTGCTGCCTTGCTAGTGGGCCAAAGCAAAGGGGGCCACCCAATTTTGACCTGGAGCTTCCAGAACTATGAGCTAAAATAACCCTTTTCTCTTTGTAAGTTAATCGCCTCTGGTATTTCATTATTGTGACATAAAGCTGACCAATAAAACATTTAAAAGGCAATAGGAAAAGAGAAACCCATTTATCACCCACCCAGCGTCCAGTCTATAATCCACCTCCTTGTTGGTGGAAAATGGAGAGCATTTGCATAGTGTTGTTGCCATTGAACTTTACTCGATGACCCTGGTAAACATTACCCTGGTTGTAGTACAGTAATTCTGTGGCATGAGGCAGTATAGGACATTCAAGACAAATGAGTGGAATACTTCTGTTGCTTTTAGAATAGCGTTAGAGCTTTTAGAACAGAATTATGAACCCAGAATATGAGGATCCTACCCACCATCTCTCCTTCCCTAGAGTTTCTAAGGGATGGTATTCAAAGTCCTAGCACATTAGTGGTTGTGCAAGCCCCTGACAGACACCCCTTTTCACAACCTGGTCAAATGTTTGACTTGTCTTTCCTCACTTTTTTCCTCTGTCATCTCAACGGAGATCATCGAAACCAGTTGCTCAAGTCAACTTGCTAAGAGGCAGTGACCATGACAGTGAGATGGGCAGCTCCCCCAGGGGACCCCAAATTTATTTTCTCACCCTGGGCCTGGGTCTGGAGAAGAGAGAGGGGAAACTTTGGCCCTTGCTTTGGAGAAGAGTAACCCCATATTACTGTGAAGGCCATGAAGTTTGGTCAAACTGAAAACTCTCGTTTGAGGGAATTAGTGAGGGAGTGGCTTAGTAGTCCTAGGGCTACTAGGGCTAGTGTGGGAACAAGGGGTGGGACGTGACCTACTCAGAACAGAACTGGTTAGGTCTGTAGCCCCAGAGAGTGCAGCTCTGCCACCTACCAGCTGTGATTTCCCAGCCTCCCCCCACATTTCCACCCCTAAAACGTGAGTGACTGCAGTGGGGACGAGGATTAATCTTGAGGAGGATGTGTACTGTTCAGTGTGAGTGATTTTTTCTTGTTTTGTGTTCTGCCTCCTTGTTCTCTTGAGCTGCTCAGTTTAGCGAGGACCCGAAGGAACCTTCAAAAGCTGGCAAAAAGATTAGGGGAAAAAAAATTTGTAGAACAGAAATTGACAACAGTCTGCCAATTTTTCCTCTTCAGAACTTGCCACTTGCCCAAATGCACTGATTCTACCTGTTTATTTATTTTTTGTCCAGCTCCATACCCTCAGATGGTCCTAGGGTGCTGGAATCCTAGTCAGGGTAGCTCGGGTTTCTGCTGGGTAGGACTCGGCACTCAAGGGTGCTTCTGGTGCGGTGCTACTGTGATCGCACTCCAACTTAACTGTCACAGTGAGACTCGCTCTCTCTTTCCATCCCTTCCTCTCTTTCCTCTCTTTCTTTCTTCCCCTCCTTCCCTCTCTTTCTTTCCCTTCCTCCTTCCTTCCTTTTTTTCTCTCCTGGGATTGAAGCCAGGGCCTTCACCCTGAGATAAATCTCTTAATACTTTTAATTTTTTTTTTGAGACAGACTCTTACTATGTCATGAAGTTGCCCAAGCTGGACTTGAATTCACCATCCTCCTGCCTCAGGTGTACCCCCCCTCCCCCGAGCTGGGACAGACTTTTCTTTTACCGGGGATTGAACTCGGGTCCTTGCGCTTGCAAGGCAGGGCACCGAACCGCTGAGCTATATCCCCGGCCCCAACAGAGACTTTTCCTCAGTGGTCATTTTCTCATTTGTCCTCATCTGGTTTCTTGTGGGACAGAAAAATTTAAAAGGCGGATCCCTTTACTCAGGCAGCATTGTACTGACATTCTGTGGTACCGAGGATCGAACTCGGGTCCTTGCGAGGAAGGCCACCGAACCGCTGAGTTAAATCCCCGGCTCTTCCCCCCCTGTAGTCTTTATGTTCATTTCTGTTAGCATGTTTTACATAAGACAATGAAAAATAGTTCGTAGCAGTATTGCCTGACACTGAGTTAGATTTTTATTAATGTGACATTCTTATCAATGTGAAAGAGTATAACTGACAGACGATATGCTATAAACTCTGATTTACTCTTAGTTTTCACCCCCACCCCCCATGACGTTTTCGTTGGGACCCCGTTTACAGAATAAAAATGCTCAGCGGGGCAAAAGCAGGAACAAGTCTGAAACGGAGGTAATTTATAAACTTCATCTATTTTAGAACCATCAGTTCTATACCCTTGGTATGATCTCTTTCTCCCTCTCTCCCTCCTTTCTTTTCCCCACATCTTTAGCCATTACCTCCTGGCTAATCCCAGAGAAAAAGCGACAGGCGTGAAGGGTATTTTCCAGGAAATTATGACCCCAGATTCTAGTCCCAGCTCCGCAGTTCTCAGCGGAGTGATCATCACTGTGGACTCAGCTTCCTGTGTAGCGAGTAAGTGGGGGACTGGGCTGGACCCTGAGAGGAAGGGGCTCGAAGTTGTCACTGCTCTACCAGCTTGGGGCCTGTGGGTCTCAGCGGCTGGTCACTCGGAGGATCCCCAAAGCAGACACATCCTGCAGGACCACAGAATCGGCTCAGTCACACACAGCCCGGCTACTCTAATAGACACCGGTGCCAACCCAGAGGCGACGCTGGCCAGGAGAGGCAATGCCGTCTCTAAGCACAGCATCCTGGAAATGCTCACATCCCCAGGAAGGGGTCACTGAGCCCATGTGCTCGGTTTTGAACTGCCGTGCAGGAGCTCTCTGACCTGGGGCAGTGCAGTCTACCCCTTCGCGTGAGTGGGGTCCGCCGGCTAACGGCACTGACTGGCGCAGGTCCCCTCAAGCGCTTAGGAAAGAAACCATAGTTGGAATAGTTGTGAGCCTTGATTCCCCGGAGTCTCGGTGGACCAGCGCTGGAGCTTTCCCCTCAAGGTAGGGCGGCCCTGGCACCAGGCCGAGACCCCGCCGTGCCAGGGCGCCTGGTTCGGAGATGCTGCGGGTTGGGATGTGATTAAACTCCCTGAGTGGGGGAGCCTCAGCGGTCTGGCCCCGCGCCGGAGGGCCGGCGGTAAGTAGCACACTCTGCTGGAATCCCTAATTAAGGTATTTTCCAAAACTGCCCTTTTCAAGGTCTCGTCCCCTTTTCTCACCTCCTTCTGGCCCCTTCCCTCTGGGTCCCTGCCAGACCAGGCGCACGAGGCAGTGTGGGGCTCCTGGCCTGCGGGTCAGAGGGAAGGTGACGGCCGGGAGGGACTCGCCCGGCGGAGGACGCGCTCGCCCCAGGCCGGCTCC